GCCCTGCAGGCTGGAAAGGCTCGAGGAGTTCAAGAGGCGCAAAAGGCTGGCCGTCGTGGAGAGTGCGGTCGAGGACATTGACCGAGTCCGCTTCCCGATGTGCGTCATGCGGCTCGAAGATTTCGAGGCTCTTGGCAAGCTCATCTCCCACGAAGACGCGCGCTCCCAGGCCCTGCTGAACTTCTTAGACACCCCCGAGGCGCTTGAGGACCGATTGCCCTGGATGCTGCCGCTGTGGCTGTGGTTGGTGCTGTTCCTGTTGATGCCACCGCCGCTGCCGCTGCGGGCAGTAGCCTTCAGACGCGTGTGTTCCGCGTGCTTCGATGCTCCATGCCTGGCCCACTCAGGGCCATACCTCCTGGAGCGTGTAAGGTGTGTTGCCCCTAGCCTCTCCTGTCTCCGCCCTCCCCTCGCCTGTTTGTTCGGCTGCCACTGCTCCCAGGCCTCCACGATGACGGAGCGGCTTCGACTCATCTGGGTCATCGTTGCTTCTCTCTTAACACCCGTTTGGGGAACAGCTGCAAAAGGGCTTCCCAGGGCGGCCGCATCTATCCCTAAAGCAGGTGGGAGCCCATCGGGGCTGAACGACTCGTCGTTCCGCCGCAGGGGTCTCGTGTAATTCGCGGGCGAAGCACCTATCTCTATCCGCAGCCTCGCGGGCCAGGCCCCTGGGCCGGGACCCCGCGGATGGGAGACGTTCTTTGGCGGATGCCCCCGCGCGGAACGTATCCGTGCGACCGTGCATCCGCGGGATCTCGCCCTGGAGTCCAGACCGCGAGGTCGCGGACACGGAGATGTTGGCTGCTAGTGAATGGTTCTCCCTCGGCTGCGTCTGCCGGGCTCCTCGAACTCGGCTGGCGCGGTGCCAGCCCGAGGGGGGGGAGCACCGCAGAGGCCGAAGGACACCAAGCCCCGAGTCTCGCAGGCTGAGGCCCGCGGCGGCAGGATTTTCTCCGGCGTGACGCTCTGGACCCCATGTCGGGCGTCATGACGGGGGGGGCGGAGCGGCAGCGAGGGCTGCAGAAAAGGGGCTCTTGGGGGCCCAGAGGGGGCCTGTAGGGCCCGAAAACGAAGGGCACCTTTCTTCTCCCCAGCGATCGCCTCCTCAGCATCAGCGCCGCCCAACCATGACCAGTCTCTCGCCGCAGATCCCTCTCAGCGGCACCGTAGCGGGTGCTATCGGGTACTTTGCAAACCCGCTGGAGATTGCCACTTTAGGGCTTGTTTCGGGGGGGCATTGCATCATTGCCCACATCGGGAAGGGTTGAGTTCGCTGGGTCGCTGGCCACACGCGCCTTCATCTAGGGTGCCCTTGTGTCCTTGCCTCTGCCACACGTCCTTTGCCGTTTTCATTGGTCGCCCGCCGCTTTAAGCACCTCAATTTCGGCCTCCAAGGGTCTTGCGTCCTTACAACCCGTCCTTAATACACGTTCTCACTGTAGTGGAGGACTTGTCAGGGGCGCGTTGACCCTTTCTCGATGGCCCAGCTGTCCCGAAGATGGCCCCCAGAGGTAGACCATTGCAGCAACGAGCGCTGGCCGTGCCCGTGATCGCGGCGCCCGGGGGGCCTCGGGAAGTGCACAGACGAACTCTCCCCAGAGAGGAGCAAGGGGTATCCACGACGAACACAGACAGGATGTGGAGGAGAACTGAGGGACATATGAGGCGTTCCAAAAGGGCCTTGCCTTCGAGGATAGAAGGAGTTGACGTCGCTTCTTCGGCGGAAGGCGGCGGAAGGTCGGCGGAAGCAAACCGAAACCGCCTCCGCCGGCGGAAGGGCGACGGAAGGCGGCGGAAGCAAAAAGTGCTTCCCCCAGAGATGAAAACATGTTTTTGGGGTTCCGGGCTTCCGAGATCCGCCTTATCAATGCATGGGGAGGAGCACCAGCAGCACACCGCCTTCGTGAGCCACCAGTGGACCGGCTTCTCCCACCCGGACCACACCGGCGTGCAGTACAAGAGCATGGTCACGGCCTGCAGCGCCATCCGGGACCACCTGAATCACGACCTCCGGCGGGCCACCGTCGTGCGGGACGCATCCCGTTCGATTGAAGTCGGGCATGCCCTTCTACAGGGGGACTGATCCAAAATTAGTTTAACCATATTATGGGGACGATTTTGTTGACTACGTTTGAATATTTCGTGCAACCTTTAGTTTTCTTGCTGTTCTTATCTTGTCGTCTAAATCCGCCTGTAGGAGGGATTGAACGTTTGATTGGGCTCAAGCCGGCCCAGTCTGGCTGACTGGCTGCGTCGTCGGGCGCAGCCCGGCTGCCTGCGGCAAGGCCCCCCACCGTGCCAGCCCAGGCGTTGGGCAGCCGTGGTGAGGATGACGAGGGCGATGGAGGTGACGATGGCGAGGAGGGGGGATAAAACGACGCGAAGATCGGGACAAAATCGGATCGGGATAACTCGAAATCTCTGAGAATCAGCGGGTTTGGAGGATGTATTGGGCGCCGCGGCCGCTCCAGAGCGTTCCGGAACGTTCTGAGAGCGCTCCGGAACGCTCTGGAGCGAATTATCCCGATCCTAGCCTTGTTTTATGGTGAGGATGACGAGGGTGATGGAGTTGACGATGGCGAGGAAGGGGGAGGGGGAGGAGGAGGAAGAGGAAGGGCGTCGCATGTGACACCTGTCGCCTTCACTTCTTGAGGAGCTCTCGTGGAGCTCGTTTGGGCCGTCCTGGGGCCGTCTTCGGCTCGTGTGGGGCGTCGGTCCGTCTTGAGGCCCTCTTTGGCCGTCTAAAGCTCTCTTAGGCCGCCTTGGAGCTTCTTGGGCCGTCTTGGGGCCCTCTTTGCGGTAGGGAGGCTGTCTTGGTGCCGTTGTGAGGCCCGTCGAAAAGACTTCTGTGGCTGTCGTGGGTCTCTCGGGAGGCCGTTTTTGGGGCCGTCTTCAAGGTCTCTTGTGCCATCGCTGGGACCTCTTGGGCCGTCTTGGGGCTCTCTCTTGGAGCCTCCGGGGCTGCCTTGGGGGCCTAAAAAGGCGAGAGTGTGAACATCTCCCCCAAACCAATAGATAATGATCCTGGCTTCTTCGGACCCTGTTGGGGGTCTTCTTGTCGCCCTCTTGTTTGCTCTTTCTTTGGGCAGTCTTGAGGCCATATTGGGCTGCCCCGAGGCAGTCTGAGGCCATCTTGAAAGTATCGTAGGCCGTCTTGGCGGCCTCGGTTGCATGCTGGGGCCATGTTGGAAGCTCTGGAGCGCGGATATGCTGTGTTCCACGCGGTACCGCTGCCTCGGTGGAGGGGAAGTGCACGCATTTTTGGGGGGCCCTTCGAAATTTACAGAAACCCTGCCAGACAGACCATGGCATTCTTCCACGCCTCATCCAGGGGGCACGGTGGTGGATAGCCTGTCATCGTTCTTACGCTCCCAGGCCTCCCTGAGGCTGGATAGCCTGTCTCCGTGGGATAGCCTCGTCCCAGGCCTCCGGGGATTTGCTCCTTAACTGTCGATGCAGCCTACGGTGTTCACGCGAGTAGCCAGCAGGAGGCCCAACCACTGAGTATCGGCATGTGCCGAGGCCGTCTCCGCCGAGGGTTTTGAATTCTGGTTGGCGTCATGTGGAGCCGAAGCTATATGGTCGAAAACCAGTCGGCGCAAGGTTCGCGCTAGCTGTTTGATTCGTTGGAGCAGGATCGTACGATGCTCTTGTATGCTTTCCAGTTTGTCCTGCCGATCCGGTGAAGCCTCCTCTCTGTCTCTCCCGGTTGAGTTCGAGGGGCTGGGCGCAAGGCTTCTGGACGAATTTTGCACTGGACGTGGCGCTGCGGCAAAGGGAAGGTGGGGACAGAAGAGGGGTGCGGAGGGCCAGAGGGAGGGGACGGCGAGGGGGACGGGGACCTTGGCACCGCTCGGACGTGTGCGTTTTTTCCCAGCGAGGACCTTCGAGGAGCATCCTCGACCATGGGGCCAAGACAAATACGCACGAAACCGAAGCATGCACAGGGAATGGACGTCCGAGCGACGGCGAGGGACAGGATGGACGGAAGACAGTGAGGACGAGGTGAGGACAATGGTGACCTGCTTCCTGCTGCTCGTGAGGTCAAGGCAGGAGCGCTCAAGTCGTGCCAGAGCTCTCTCCCCGCCCCTCCCCCTTCGGTGCGCTGTCCGCCCCTGGCGCGAACTCCTGGGGACGCAAGCTCACCAGCAGAGGCGCCCCCCTCCTCAGGTGGGTGTGGGTGGACTACTTCTCCATACCCCAGCGGAACCGCGACCAGCAGCAGGCGGACGGGGCGGCGCGCGCGGCCGAAGCGGGGCGCCTTGCGAGTGGCAGAGTCGGAGTATGTACCAGAAGGGTGCAGGAGGAGGGAGGAAAAGGAGAGGGAGTACAGTCATCGCGCCTAGTAAGGATGTGCGCAATCGTCTAGGGCGCTCTTGTGTCCTTGCCTCTGCGGCCCGTCCTTTGCCGTTTTCACTGGTTACCCGCCGCCCAAAAGGAACCAACTTCGGCCTCCACGGGTCTTGCCTCCTTACCGCCCCTCCTGAATACACTTCCTGACTGTAGCTGGAGCAGGAGGAGGAGGAGGAGGAGGAGGAGGAGGAGGAGAAGGACAAGGGGAGGAGGAGGAGGAGGAGGAGGAGGAGGAGGAGGAGGAGGAGGAGGAGGAGCTCCTGCCAGGTGGCCATCGACACCCTGGCGGTGTACGCCGCCCACAGGAGACCCGCCCTGCTTGAGGATCGAGGCCAGGAATCCAGAGGATCAGCGCAAACGCCGCCTGCGCAGCACGAGGATCAAGCTGCATGCAGCGGGCTTCGGCCCCACCGCCAGGCTCTCGCCTTCAGGACAAATTGGCCCCTCCGGCTGGCGACCGGAATATCGGCAACGTACGCCGATTCGCTAACCCCCCTCAGAGATCCGATGTCGTAATTTGTTCAATGCGCAGTCCCCGGAAGTCTCGACCCATTCCGCAGGACCGTTCTTAAGTGCTGAGCCGTTTTTTGACGGTCCCGGGGCCCGGCGAGACACTTCCCCTCGTGAGTGTCTCATGGCCCGAGGGGCTCCTGGGACCCCCTCTGCCACCGCCCGCCAAACCACCCTCACCCAACCCGAAGGCCCCGACCTGCCTCCTGTCGGGGAACATTGAAACAAACAAAAACACATATGAAGCCCGTACCCCCCCCACCCGAAATTCGGGTCTGCGGGTTGGGTTGGGGTGGTCTGGTGGGCCCCCAGAGGCAGAAAATTTGGAAAAACCTCCGTCTTGATTTTTTATCATGCGTTTGCTCTCTAGGCCTCGTGCTGGCCCCCCCCCGTCGCCCGAGCCGACTGGCGGGCACTGCGGTCGGCCCCCGGGCCCCCTCCGTGCCCGGGTCGCCGTCGGCAGCTCCTGCGTGCGAGAGCCGCGCCGTGGGCGGGGAGCAGCGCTCTGGAGCGCACGCCCCCCCCCCCCCCTGTGGCCAAAGAGCGCGTTCTGTGGTCGCTTGGAGGGGGGGGGTTGGAACCGGACCCCCCCCCACCCTGGATGGAGGCGGGGGGGTTCGAACCCCCCCCCGCCCCCTCGTGACGGAGGCGGGGGGGTTCGAACACCCCCGCCCCTCGTGAAGGAGGGGGGGGGCCCTCGGGAGGTGGTGTTTGACGGCCGCGGGGAGACGGAGCGACCAGGTTCGCCTCCTCCCCCCCTTGCCTGGCCCCCTCTTCTGGTCGATCCTCCTCGCGCCCCGCGCCGCCGCCGAGGAGGGCTCGACCGGATGTGAGAGTGACCCTTCCTTTTGCTGGAGTGACCTCTCTGGTGCGGGCCCACAGGGGGCTCCCAGATGGCTGAGCGCGAAGCGGCAGCGGCGGCCCGCGCGCCTGGTTTTGCCCCCTTCGCCCCCCCCCCCCCCCGCCCCCCCCCCCTCTGAAGGCCGCGCACCGGAGGCCACGCTTGCCCAGGGGTCGCTCTTGCGTGTAGCCGAGGGGTGGCCCAGGGCTCGACCTGGCGCGGCCTCAAGATCGGGCCGGAGGAAAGGGGGGGATTGGGAAAAGGGGGGGTACGAAATCTGCTGCATGCAGCTTGTTTCGGCCCCAAGGGCCCGTTCCTCGTTACATGGCCGCCTCCCGGCGCCGGGAGGCGCCGGGAAAATCAGCTACGTGAGCTGATTCTCAAACACCCCCTTTGCTATCCCCCCCTTTCGCCCAGCCCGATCAGAGTGACCGCACGGTGTTAGGGCGATTTCGTGGGCCGCTGTCGTTTCGGCTTCGTGGTGCAGCAAGGTTGGATGGGAGACAGAGCGCGGCGCGGGACTGCGACCACAAAGCGAGCACGAAAAACACCGTCTGGGTCGATCGCAGGGGTGTCCCACCCGCAGTCGGGGGGTCACCCGAGTCGCGGAAAGATCGCCCCCAGACGCCCAAGATGGCCTCGAGATGGCCCGAGCGGCCTCGAAGACGCCTCCCAAGAGCAGAGGAGGAGGAGGAGGAGGAGGAGGAGGAGGAGGAGGAGGAGGAGGAGGAGGAGGAGGCGGAGGAGGAGAGGGAGGTGGAGGAGGAGGAGGAGGAGGAGGAGGGGAGGGAGGTGGAGGTAGGAGGAGGAGGAGGAGGAGGAGGAGGATGGAGGAGGAGGAGGTGCAGCTAGGAGGTGGAGGAGAGGGGAGGCGGAGGAGTGGAGTGAGGAGGGAGGCGACAGATGCGCTTCAGGGATGGGGGGGGGGGGAGGGTGGGGGGGGCAGGGGGGGGGGAAGGGGGGGAGGCTTGGGGAGGAAGGACGAGGGAGTGGGTGTGGGGGGGGGGGAGGGAGAGGCGGTTATAAGTGGTTTTCTCAGGGAGGATGGAGGGGGAGGGGCGTGTAGGAGGAGGAGGAGGAGGAGGCAGGGAAGAGGAGGAGGAGGAGGAGGAGGAGGAGGAGGGAGGAGGGGGTAGGATGGAGGATGGTAGGAGGAGAGGGGGAGTAGGAGAGGAGGAGGAGTGAGGAGGAGGAGGAGGAGGAGGTGGGAGGAGGTGGAGGAGGAGGAGGGGGAGGGAGGGGAGGGATGGAGTTCGAGTGAGGAGGAGGAGCAGGAGGAGGAGGATGAGGAGGGAGGAGGGGGGGGGAGGGAGCAGGAAGAAGAGGGGGAGGAGGAGGAGGAGGAGGAGGGGGAGGGGGTTGAGGGGGAAGTGGAGGAGGAAGGAGGACGGGGGGAGGGGGAGGAGGAAGAGGGAGGAGGGAAGAGGGTGGAGTGGTGGAGGAGGAGGAGAATGAGGAGGAGGCCTGCAAGAGGCCTCCCAAACAGGGCCCCAAGAGGGCCTCCCTGCCACCCTGCGCAGCACAGCAGTCAACCTCGCCACCTCCGCGCACGGCCTGGCGGCACCCGCGCCTGCCGCCGAGCTCGGGCGTGCGGGCCCCGCGCGCGGGGGCGGGTGCGGCTCGCCGCTGCATCGCCGCGGCGGTGCGGCAGCAGCGCGCTGCCCGCCCGTCGCCCGCCCCAGGCCTCCGGCGCCGTGCCTTCTGCCGCTCGAGGCCTCCCAGATGGAGTAAGAGGGTTTCGACGCAGGGCTTGGGCGACTCATCCTCTTCATCCTCCTCCTCCTTCTCCTCCTCCTCCTCCTCCTCCTCCTCCTCCTCCTCCTCCTCCTCCTCGGGTCGCCTACTGCCCCGCGTGAAACCGTGCACCGAGTAGATGGGATCGAAGGATCGTTCCGCATCGCCAATACATCGCGGATCTATCGCCGATGCGGCTCGATGTAGAGCCCGAGCCTGTCCACGCCGACGGCGCCGATGTATCACCGACGTCTCCGTTGCATCGCCAGTGTATCGCTGATGCATCGGCGATGCATCGCCGATGTATCGGCGATGCAGCGAGATCCTCCGACCCCATCTACTCGGAGCCCATCTAGAAGGCCTCTAGCCTCAGCGTGGCCCCCCCATGGGTGCAATTGGGGGCGCGAATCCAGAAACCGGATGCTTTTCGTCAAGGGTAGTTGCCTTGGGTTTCTTCGCTCCGCGCGCGGCGCGGTGACTTCCCGCGGCCGTCAGAGGAGCTGCTGCGTTCGGGGTCCTCCGAGCTTCCCCTCGGGCGCACCTCGCGCGCGAGGTTTCAGGGTTGGGTTTCTGGCGAGGGTTTATTGCAGCCGCGCCCGCACTCGTCAGCCAATCGTTTAAACCATAGGTTCTCGTCGGTCGTTGAAAGTGTGTAGGCAAATGTTGCGGGCCATCCCAATCTACTTCAGCCGCGCCAGATCCTAATCTACTTCAGCCGCCTTCCTGCTGCCAGAGTCGAGCGGTTTTCCCTCTTCCCTCCTCAGGGGGCGGGCGGAAGCCCCATGTACTGCCGACGCCATTCTACTTCATGCATCTACCCGCTTCTTCCGACCGACTGGTACAGTGAGGACCGGGGAGGAGGTGGAGGATGAGGAGGAGGAGGAGGAGGAGGAGGAAGAGGAGGAGGGGGGGAGGGAGCAGAAGGAGGAGGAGGAGGAGGTGAGGAGGAGGAGGAGGAGGAGGAGGAGGAGGAGGGGGAGATAACGAGTGGAGCTATGAGGGGACGAGCTGGAAGGCAGCAGGGAGGTTGGTGGTGGAGGAGGCGGTGGAGGAGGAAGAGGGGAGGAGGAGGGAGGAGGAGGAGGAGGAGAAGGAGGAGGTGGAGGAGGAGGACTCGTTTTTCGCGTTTGAGTCTCCGTGACCAGACAGAAGAGGACCCTCCTGTTTTCTTGACCATGGGCTTACTTCTCTGGTAGCACCCCCGGCGGTGTGGTCTCCTCCCGGCCATCCTCCTCCCGCCCTACTGGCCGACTCCTCATCCGCCTTCCTCCATCCTCTCAGACCCCTGGCATCCCTCATTGTCATCCTTCTCCGCATCCCTCCTCTTCCTACTGTCTACTTCCTTCTCCTGCTGCTCCCGCCCCTCTTACCTCCCTCTCTCGAACTCCATCCTCCTCCCTCCCCCCCCCCATCCTCCTCCTCCTCTCTTCCTCCGCACGCCTCTCCTCCTCAGCCTCATCCTGTCGGAGCGCTCCACCACCACCGCATCTGGCTGACGCCAGCCTCGCAACCGTTCCTGATCATCGGCCCACTGCATACTCTCGCTCTCTCCATGCCCCCCCTTCCGCCCTGACGCCCTGCAGCCTCTCTCATACTCCTCACTCCTCCTCCTCCGCTCGTACTCTGGAGTCGGGGCTCCTCGAACTCAGCCTCCTCCTCCCCTCCCCTCTCCTCCTCCTCCTCCTTCTACGCCTTCCGCCTCCTCCTCATACTCCTCCCTCCTCCTCACCTCCTCCCCCTTTCTCCTCCTCTCCGCCTCCTCATCCTCCTCTGCGCCTCCGCCTCCTCACATCCTTCTCCTACCTTATCTCCTCCTCCATCCTCCCCTCCTCCTCCTCCTCCTCCTCCACTGTGTTTTCGCCGGCCCCAGGGCCCAGTCAGGATCCCCGGAGGCCAGAATGGGCCGAAGGCGTTCCGTGGTCGTTTGGGAGCGGCCGCGGCGCGAGGATGTCAGGCAGGGCTGCCCGGCCGTCGCCACCGCCGACCCGCGCCGGCTGCTCGCCCTCGTCGTCCGTGGGCCCTGTGCAGCGCTCGCCCGTCGCTCGGCAGCGGAGAGGAGGGAACAGTTAGATGCTCGTTCTGGGCACCATCCTGGGGCCTACCTGCCAGGTCTGTTCGACTCTAGTCTGCCTGCGGTACGACCCTAGCTCGACGCAATCTCGATGCAAATTTCGATTCGACTTCGACGACAGGCGACGGACGCTCGACGCAGCGTCGACGCATGAGTGGAGCGAGTGGCTCCGGGAAGGTTCCCCGCAACGAGCAGTCGGCGTCCCCCCAGCCCACTGATGCTATGTGTGCGTCTCCCTGCCGCGGTCGGCGCGTGCGCCGAGAAGTCTGGCAGTGCATGCGCCGTGGCTGCGCTTTCTGGCCGTGCTGATCTTTCTGGCCGTACTGATCAAGCAGCGATGTAGCACAATATGTTGTACTGTATAGTTATGGTCGGAGGCGCGCCTCCGAGGAGTACGCGCTGTTCATGTCAAAGTATCCGAAAGTTCTTTGTTTGTTCGGGGGGCTAAGATCCGTTCATTTCTAATTGTTCTATCCTGGGCCTCTTCCTGGCCACCAGGGGGCCAGGAACAATTAGAAACGAGCACAATCGAAATGAGCACGATTAGAAGTGAACGACGTGTACACGTAGTACTAGCATGTCCTGCGTCCCAAGCATTTGGGCAGAGAGAGAGAGAGAGAGAGCGGTGCCTGCCAGCGCCGTCTTCCTCGCGGCGGTGCCGAGCTGCAGCCACGCCGAGCTGGGCGCGCGGGTGGACGCCGGCAGCTACATGGGCCGCGCCTGGTGCCGGCTGGAGCAGCTGGCCTTCATGTCTTCGCCTCGTGCTCCTCCTCCTCCTCCTCCTCCTCGTGCCTGGGGCGGGAGAACAAGAAGCAAACACGGGAGTGGTTTCTCCATATGGGGCGCTCCGGAAAGGGCCTTGCCTTCGAGGGGCGAAGGAGTTGCCATCTCTTTCTCGGCGGAGGAGGCGGCCGATGTAGAACGAGTCCGCCTCCGCCGCCGGAAGCTGGCGGAAGCCGGCGAAAGCTCGGCGGAAGGCGGCGGAAGTAAAATATGTGCCCCAAAGAGATGATCGCCCATTAATATATAAATATACACGCTCGTAAATTAATAAGACATATATACACAGATGCGCACCCCCTATCTCCAGTGCCCATTCACTTTGCATCGGCCCTTGAGTTCTTCATTCGTACCCTCACCGATCATCCGCTTTCTTTTCGTCCGCGTCTGCCCGTCAAACTTTGCTGTTCCTCATTTCCCCGCTGTCTTCTTCGGCTGGAATCTAAGCGGAATCAGCTGGATTTGGGATCTGCCCAATGCCAATTATGTTCGAATAGGAGTCCAGTTGGGCACAGCTGGATTTTGGATGTGCCCAACTCCCAGTCTATTCTTATCCGACAAATCGTTATTAATCATATCCCGAAAGGAATCCAATGTTAATTTGCTGGGTATATGATCTTTCCAAGTCAAAATGGATGTGGCATCGATTCCAATAGAACTCACATTGGAAACAGCTGTGGATCTGCTCCATTCCAAGTCGGCCCCACTTCGATTCCATTGGGAATGAAATTCGAATCAGCTGGATCGTGGATCTGCTCAATTCCAATGAGAATATCATTCGATTCGAATAAGAATCTGTTTGTAATCAGCTGGATGTGTGGTCTGCTCAATTCAAATTAGATTCTAAATCGAGTCCGATAGGAATCCCAAGTTGATTCAGCTGGATCTGGGATGCACCCAATTCCCACTATTTTAATTGAATTCCAATAGGAGTCAACTTTGAATCAGCTGGATCTGGGATCTGCTCCAGTTGAATTTGACTTTTTTCATATCCCAATAAGAATCCATCTGAATCACCTGGATCTTGGACCTGTTTCAGCTCATCCAGAGTCTTGGGTGGGTCCCAAAAGGAATCTGATTGGAATCAGCTAGATCTGCGATCTGCTGACTTCTAATCCGATGCTTTAAATTTGATGCCAAAAAGAATATAGTTGGAATCAGCTGGATCTGAGATCTGCTCCATTCTGATTGAGCTCTTTTAGGTCCCACTAGGAATCTACGTAGAATCGGCTGAATCTGGGATCCACTCCACCCCAATGATGAGATTTCAATTGTGTTCCAGTAGGCATCTAAGTGTAATCAGCTGGATCTGGAATCCGCCTCTCTTGCTCTCTCGCTCTCTCTCGCTTTCTATTTATGTTTCTCTTTCCCTTTCTCTCTCGCTTTCCCTTTCTGTCTCTCTATCTCTCTCTCTCTCTCTCTTTCTCTCTCCCCCTGCTTCTGGGCAGAACATGGAGTGACGCGTGACAGTTCGCACTGGCAGGTGGATGCTACACACGGGCGCGAGGCTTCCATTTGACAACCCTTCGCTAAGCCTTGTATCACATGGGCCTCCGGGCCCGGTCAAGAGCAGGCTTTGCGGCATGCGACAAGCTTTGGGGACAGCGTGCTCTTGAGCAGGTCTGGTAGTGGCGCATACCTTCTCAGTCATCCGCTTTGTGGATTTTTTTCACAGCCCGACTCCCAAAACGTGTGAACCCCTTCCTAGGGACCGGTCTCCATCCCGAGCCATTTCTTGACGGCCCTGGGGCCCAGTGCGGGGCCCCCAGAAGACGAAAACGGCCAAACAACGAGATCCGTGAGTCGGGACGCGATGGTGTCAGTTGTCCGGCGCTATAGTTTGGGCCTTCAGCGGCCGTTCCGTGTGCTCTGGCTACCCCAGGAACGTCCTCGGCAAGGTGCAGCTGCTGGGCCAGCGTCCCAAGAACTCGCGAGGTCTTCTGGAAACGTGATTCCTGCACGACGCCGGGATGCTGGGCGCGGCGAAAAGGGGGGGGCAGGGAGGGCTGCAGAAAAGAGGCCCCTCAGAGCCCCTAAAGGACCCCAAGGGCCCCAGAAGGGGGCATAAGGTCCGAGAAGGGCACCTTCCCCCCCCCCTCATTCATCGCCCCCCCCCCCCCGGCCCCAATTTCGCGCCCCCCCCCTCTCCCCCTCCCCCCCTAATTTCGCTCCTCCATTTTTCCCCCCCTCATTGATCGCCCCCCAATTTTCCCCCCCCCCCCCCCCTACTTCGCGCCCAAAGGTGCTGGCGCGCGTCTCCGCTCGGCGACGGGGCCGCGCGCTGGCGCCGCTTGGGGGGGGGGGGGGGGCGGCGGGAGCCATGCCTCGCGTTGCAACACCATGTGCGCGACGGGAGGTGCGCGTTTGGCAGTCTGCGGCTGCTGGGGGCCCTGGCCGGAGAGAGAGGAGGGGGAGGACGAGGGGGAGAGGAGGAGGAGGAGGTGGAGGAGGGAGAGGAGGAGGAGGAGGAGGAGGAGGAGGAGGAGGAGGAGGAGGGGAGGAGGAGGGGAGGAGGAGGAGGAGGAGGAGGCAGGAGGTGGAGGAGGAGGAGGGAGGAGGAGGTGGAGGAGGAGGAGGAGGAGTAGGAGGAGGAGGTGGAGGAGGAGGAGAAGGAGGAGGAGGAGGAGGCGGAGGGGGAGGAGGAGGAGGAGGAGGAGGCGGAGGAGGAGGAGGAGCGAGGAGGAGGGGGAGGTAGGAGCGAGGAGGAGGCCCTGCTGGGGGCCCCGGCCGGGCCTGGGGAGCGTTTGAAACAGAACGATGCGAGAGGGGAGCCCGCTGTTCTCCACGCCGGCAGCGCCGACGCATCGCCGACCCCGGATCCCCGACGTCATGGTCTTTCTTGGCGTCGACCCCTGGATGTGTCGACCCATTATCAGGAGGGGAAAAAACACACAGACACAATTAATCGTCGATCCCCAGGAAAATATGCGAAAATATGGGAATTGGGGGGGAAGACAAAAACCGAGAAAATATGAGAAAATATGGGGAATATTTTTATTTGTGTGTATTTATTTGTGTGTTCTGGGGCCCCTTTACATTACCCGGGACTGGTTCTTCATCCTGGGTTGTTTTTTGACGGTCCCGAGGCCCGGCGAGACACTTCCCTTCGTGAGTGTCTCATGGCCCGAGAGGGTCCTGGGACCCCCTCTGCCACCGCCCGCCAAACCACCCTCACCCAACCCGAAGGCCCCGACCTGCCCTCCTGTCGGGGAACATGGAAACAAACAAAAACACTTATGAAGCCCGTACCCCCCCCACCCGGAATTCGGGTCTGCAGGTTGGGTTGGGGTGGTCTGGCAGGCAGTCCATCTGCTCCGGCCCCCGCTCGGGAGGCCTTCCGGCCAAGCATGCGAGCAACGACACGGCGCCAGCTGCCTGAGGATGGAGCGCAGTTTCGTGGCGTGTTTTTCACGATGTTGCAATTTGTTTCGCTACGACGGATCGCAGGAGTCAGGAGTGTGTCACTCGAGGAAGAAATCGGCGGCCAGCGAGGGGGGGGGAGGTGAGAAGGGGAAGGCCTTCTGAGAAGGCGGCGGGACTTCTCAGAAGCCTTCCGGTCTTCTGAGAGATTTTCTGTGCCTTCGGGGAAGGCTTCGAAAACGTCCGCGGTCTTTGGGCGGCCCAGGTCCGCGCACTCGCACCTGGACCGGCTGCCCGCCTACACGTGCGGCGGCGGGACGGCCCTCAGGGCTGGGCCAGGGGGGAGGAGACGTCGACTCTGGGCGCCGCCGCTACTCTTTCACCACGCAGAGGAGAGTAGGAGAGTCGACTACTCTAGGCCTTCTCGATGGGGTCCGAGTAGATGGGGTCGGAGGATTGCGCCGCATCGGCGATGCATCGCCGATGCATCAGCGATGTATCCAGTGTGGGGCCCAATTTTCTCCACGCCGACGTCGCCGATGCATCGCCGATGCATCGTCCATGCAGCGCGGTCCTCCCTGATCCCATCTACTCGGACCCCATCTAGGAGACCTCTAAGTACACGTTATTGGGGTCCCCCCAATCGCTGGGCGCCGTGCGGTAGCGGCCACTCTGCGCCCCCATACTCCACGCACCAAATGTCTCTTACCTGGGCTCGAGCAGGAGATCTGGGCCCCGCCGCTACCTTTACCATGCAAAGGAGACGGTCCTGAGGGCAAGCGCCCCTGAGGGAAGGGGCCCCGCTGACCCCAGACCCCCGACGCCATGATTTTTGTCGCAGCGCCGGCCCCCAGAGGTCTCGACTCCCTCCCCGGGGCCCAGCTCCTCACCCCGAGTCGTTTCTGGACGGCTCCGAGGCACGGGGCGAGGGTCCCCCCGGGGCCGAAGACGGCAGGGAGCCTCCCGCCATCAGCTGTTCCTGGCCCGAGGGGGCCTGGGGACTCTGGCCTCCTGGGGCCCATCCCTGGGCCCTGCGGGGGCGCCATGATCAGGAGGGAACACACACAGACACAATTGATCGTCGATTCCCCAGAAAATATGGGAGAATATGGGAAGTGGGGGGGAAGACAAAAACCCAGAACATATGGAAACTATTGAGAGTATTTTTCTTCGTGTGTATTTATGTGTGTCCCAGGGCCCTCCACATGAGGCCATGCCGCGGCTCAGCATGGGAAGCCGCTCTTGGGGAAGGCCCGTGCTCAGACCTCTCGCGCCGCGAAGAGCATCGCGGCGGGAGGCTGCGACCTCCGAGGGCTCTCACTGGGCCCCAGGGTCGTCAGATGTTGCATGGGAGAGAAGCCCCAATCAGTGGATGGTCCGAAAGTCAAGCAGAGGCGAGGCGTCCTGGCTCGCCTATAGCCCTACCAAACAATGTTGTAAGAACCTTTTGTGGTTTCCACAAAATATCCTTAGAACATTTCTGGTTGGGATTGTCTTGCTTTAACTCATCGGGTTCATGTTCTAAGAAAATTGTTTTGTTCTTAGAACATTTGGGCTCCAAGAACATTTCGTGGTATGACTACAGGAATGCCGGGACGGTCGGTCCCTGCTCAAATCAGTGGATGGTCCGAAAGTTTTGCAGGCACCATGCCCGGCCGCGGTTTCGCAGGAGGGCCCTAAGAGGCGAACTCATGGATTGCCCCTGCGTCTTGAAAGGGCTGTGGCATCCTCGCCTTTTCGGGCATCCGTCGGCTCGAATGGCCTAGGAGGTCTCCAATATTGGCCCAAGACGGCGCACCAGGGGCCCAAGATCACGAGAGGCCCGAGATGACCCAGGCGGGCCTCGGGAGGTAATTTCCCTCGACGGCCTGAGAGGGCCCCTCGATGACTCAAGAGGACCATAACACGTCCCCGCAACGGCCCGGGAGAAACATCAGCATCAGCAAAAGAGACAGCGAGAGAGAGAGAGAGATAGAAAACAAACAAAAAAGAGAGAGGGGGGCGCCCACCGATAGCCGCCCACCGAGAGCCGCCCACCGAAATCGGCCGGCTACTTTCGCCAATCTCTTGAGCTTGAGACGGTGCCCACCGAAAGCCGCCCGCCGAGTGCCGCACACCAAAATCGACCGGCTACTTTCACCAATATTTTCTATGTCCGCTAGGACCCCTTCACTGTAAACATTCATTGGGGAAACAATGACGCAGGGTGAACATTCGGTCCCGGTGAATGGGTCCATACCTCCAGGCGTCCGATGCCAACCACTCTGGGCCTTGTCTTTGCTCGGGAAGGGGATGGGCAGAGTGATACTCTGACTCTTCTCATCTGTCCAGCCATCACACAGTGTTGGGTCCTCGTTCTGAATCCGGAGCGCCCTCCCCCGCTCCTCCTCCTCCTCCTCCTCCTCCTCCTCCTCCTCCTCCACCTCTTCCTCATTATCCTCCTCCTCCTCCTCCTCCTCCTCCTCCTCCTCCTCCTCCTCCTCCTCCTCCTCCTCCTCCTCCTCCCGCGTCCCTCGCCCCTCCCCTCCCCTTCGTGGCCCCTTGGGGAGCCACAGCCAAGGCCCCAGTGGCAAAGGTCGCACGCGACCCCGCGCCAGTTTCTGTACACCCCTCTCACGTTTCGTGGCCCCACTGGGGGCCCCTCCTACGGCCCCATTGGCAAAGTTCGCATGCGTCCCCTTGCCCATTCTGGCACACTCATAACAGGTTCCGTGGCACCATAGAGAGCTTCACTGGAGGTCCATTGGTTCGCAGGCGTGCCCGCGCCCGTTTTGGCAAACCACTCACACGCTGCGTGGCCTAGATAGGGAGCTCCACCGACGGTTCCAGTGGCAGGGTTTGCATGCGACCCCGTGCCAATTGCTGCATATTCTTGACACGTTCCGAGTCCTCGCACGTTTCGTTACCCAACGGCCTCTCTGGCATAGATCGCATGCTCCCCCGCACCCATTTCGGCACAGTCCTCACCTGTTCCGTGGGACCATAGGGAGCTCCACCGAATGCCCCAGTAGCAAAATTCGCATGCTCGCGGGCGCCCATGCCGGCCTTCCCCTCGTTCGCTCCGTGGCCCCACCGGGAGCGCGCCACCCACGGCTCCGGCGGCAGGGTGTGCATGCGTCCCCGCGCCCCTCTCGGCACGCCCCTCGCGCGCCTCGTGGGCCCCGCGGGGAGCTCCACCGAACGCCCCGGTGGCAGGGGCCGCACGCGCCCCCGCGCCCACTTCGGGCGCACCCCGCGGGGCGCTCCGTGGCCTCGCGGGGAGCTCCGCCCGGGGCCTCCGTGGCAGGGCCCGCGGGCGTGCCCGCGCCCGCGGCCCCGCCCCACTGCGGCACGCCCCTCGCGGGATTCGGCAAGTTCTGTCTGGGCCCCTCCCCCTTGCGACGCGAGGGTGCCAGGGGTGCCACCACCGCGGGGGTGGGCCACCACGGAGATGGGGTGGTCGCCTACTGCCGCCGTGGGATCCCCCCCTCGGGGGACCTTGGAGGGGGGTTCGTTCAAACAGCCCCTTCCAGGAGTGGTGTTCGGATCCCCGCCACGGGTGGGCCCCCTGGCGGTGAAGCCCTCGGCGTTGCCCGGTCCATTCTGCCCGACGCCTCACGCCTCCCACGCTGTGAGTCTTCAACTCCTGGCCCCCCGGCCTCTTGATCCCTCCCCTGAGGGACTGGCTTCTCAACCTGTGGATGGCGTGTCGATGGCGACGAGCCCTTCCACGCCCCCAGCTGCCGAGAATTGCGAAACACCTCCGTCTGAAATGTTTCGGTGCGTTGCAGGTTTGGATCTCGGCATCCCCTTCGCCCGCCCACGCGTATGTTTTTGTCGTGTGCGCCAGGCGCGCCCTGGGACCCCCCCTCCTGTGCGCCCCCAGCCCCGAAGGCACGCCCGTGCGGGTGCCGGCGTGTCGGGGGCTGGACGTAGGAGCTCAGTAGCGAGGGCTGTCCAGAGATCACCAGTCTGAAGCATATCCCTACCCCTGTGTTTGGCACCACCTCACCTCGATGCCGATCTTCAGGATTCCCGCAGTTTCTGAGGGCACATCCCCAAGATTGTCCTCGCTTTTTGCTCGCCCATCTTAGGGATAGGGATACGCTCGAGGCTGGTTAAGAGAAGACGCCACCTCCCCCCTCGCAGGTCTTGCAGCCCCTGTTTCCCGACCACCAGGGCGACCCTGCCTTCAGGCTCGTGCCGGTATGCTGACTCTGGTGGCCAGTCCCCCCCCGTGGGCCGAGAGGATCACTCGAGAGGCTTTCCCGAGAGGCGCGCCGCGCGTTCAGACGAGCGCACATCACTCCCTCTGAGCGGCCTGGGGGCGCCTATCGAGATCCGGTCGAGCGAACCTCTGAGCGGCCCGGGGGCGCCTGTCGAGATCCGGTGTGCGATCCTCGGCGCTGGGGCCTTTGCACTGGGTCGCTCGGACCATCGAAGAGCGGAGCCAAGGACCATCGAAGAGCATGGTTGCCCACCTCGCAGAACAACGCACGCGCGAAGCCGAAACGTGCACAGTGAATGGACGTCCGAGCGATGGCAAGTGCGAGGAACCCAGTGGTCTTCACCCACCAAACCGCCCCAACCCAACCCGCAGGCCTCAATGTGCCCTTCATTTCCAGTGGGGGGGGGTCCGGGAACATCGAGAAAAAAACACATATGGAGCCCATACCCCCCCAACCCGAAATTCGGGTCTTCGGGTTGGGTTGGGGTGGTCTGGTAGGTAGCCCAGTGAAGCGCACCAGCACGGCTCCAGGCGCGGCGAGACCGGCTTCCCGTACTCGGAGCGGCTGCTGCGGGTCATCACAGGCCACGCGGTGGCTGCGCGTAACCATCCCCGCCTCGTAGCAAGGGTATGGCTTAATGGCCCATCCGTCGGGTTCGGGGGTGGATAGACCTCATACCCTGACACGTCGATTAAGGAATTGGCCGTTTTCGGTTCGCGAGAGGGCGTCGCGGCCGTCACTTTTGCGGGTCCAGGTCCGTCGGTTTCGGTCCCAGGCCGTTTTCTTTAAGGGGAGGTTTACTAAAGGGAGGTTTGTCCACCGACGACGGGTTTCACAGCCTTGCAGCGGCAATATCAGCTGGGCAATGATCGTAGAAGGAATCAAATATGACAGTCCAATAATTGTCCCCGCCACTTCTGTCAAACATGGTCAGCACACAGCCAATCGCCCAAGCATCGTGTCATTGCGTGCTGATGTCGCATACACAACGCAAGCAGCACGTGTAAAAGCAACACGGTAGGCGCATCCATTCAGAACTGTGCCCACAAGGCTGCAGACCCTGGAGAATCCCCTGTCTAATCTGATGAGGGCGGCGGTGATGTCCATGGCCACCCCGCGATTCGGGTGCCACCGGCCTCTTCCAGACCCTGGCCCACTGGCTCCTCCTCCGACGGTTCCTCCTCCACTGGCTCCGGGCCCCGGGCCCTGACCATCCTAGGCGAACGCAAAGTGACATAAGCATAAAAACTCGGAGGTCCGCGCGGATTTCTCGGATCGGCGCTGGAGGCGCCGCCGGGGGGCCCCAGCGCCGATCCGAGAAATCCGCGCGGACCTCCGAGCTTTTATGTTTATGCCACTTTCCGTACTTCGTCTATGTTCTAGTGCTTTGGTTTTTATGTTTATGTCTATCCCCTGACCATTCGATGCTTCATCGTCCGGTGCCCTCGCCGCAGGGCACAGCACCACGGCGGCAGCCCCCGGCTGCCTCCCAGGGCGGCGGCGTGGCCGCCCGCGGCCACCCCGCGGCCCGCGCCGCGGCGCCCCCCGCCGAGCTCAGGCGCGGACGCCCTCGACGCCGGCGGCCACCCTTGGCAGGCGGGCGCTCGGGGCGCGCGGCGCAAGCCCCCGGGGGAGGGGGGAGGGCGGGGGACGGGGAGTGCTCCTCCTATGCTCACCCCTGCTCCTCCTCCTCCTCCTCAACCTTCTCCTCCTCCTCTCCTCCTCCTCCTCCTCCTCCTCCTCCTCATCCTCCTCCTCCTCGAGCTGCGTGGACGGCCACACTGCGTAATCCTTACAGCGTAGTCCTCCTCTTCCTTCTCCTCCTCTCTTCTCCTCCTCCTCCACTCTTCTCCTCCTCCTCCTCTTTCCCCCTCTGCGTCCTCTTCTGAGGGCGGTTTCGTCCCTCGCCTGTCGCTCTCGCGCCGGGGAGACACGCAGAGGGTCGACCGAGTGCCCTTCCCGTCGCGCTCTCTGCTGCCTCCCCGTTGTCTGCCTTCTCTGCTCCTGTTCCCTGCACGGCGCTGTCTGGCGCCGCCTCACGGGCTGGCAGTGAAAGTGTGCGCTGCGGTCCGGTGGGGGAGATCTTGTCCTCTTCCTCCTCCTCCGTTCTGTGCAGTGGGCGGCGTGCCGTTGCATGCTTGGTCTAGGTAGTCCGCTACGGCCCCCATCGGAGTACCGTTGTTTGATCAGCGTGGGCGGATGTCATGAAGCCGCCATTGTTGCATGACGTAGCAGAGACAGCACGGACTCCATCAGCGGGTCGTGGTCCTGGTCTCCTCATCCTCCTCATCCGGCGGGGATTACGCGCAAGGCCAACACCCCAACGCGCAAGGCCAAGCAAAAAACTCCACAGGCCAAACAAGTCGTTTTGGCCCGTGGTGCTTTTTTGGGGAGCCTTGCGCGTTGGGGTTGTGGCCTCGCGCGCGCCCCGAGCAGCGCGCGGGGGCCCAACGCGCAAGGCTTCCCCCCAAAAATCCCCACAGGACCAAACCCAGGCCACGATTCCTCCTGAGGGCCCCCGGGGCTTCACAGGCCATGACCCCGGTCACGATTCCTTCTCTGGGCCGAGCCACAGGAGCAGCGGAGCACGCCAGCCCCGCGCGCGCGCCCCCAGCAGGGCCTGGGGGCCCGACGCGCAAGGCGAAAAAAAAAACCTCAGGCCCAAGCCCAAGCCACGACTACTCCTCTGGGCCCCGACAGCTCCACAGGCCAGAATCCAGGTGCTCTGGCGCTCGCTCGCCCCCCCCTGGGCCTCGAGCGCTAGAGGCTGCGGACGAGAGGGCAGCACCATCCTGCAGGATACAACGCATGGAACGTTACATTCAGAATCGGCGTTTGCACATCTGTGGTCGAAGACTTGCGTAGCTCTGCACATGTTTGGCAATTCCGTTTCATATTGTTCAATCCTGTCTTGTCGGGCTGGATCTTGGTTTCTATTTGGGTTGATCCGGTTCAGTGGTCCTCAGTCGGACTCGATCGCCCTGAGTGGTTCTCACGCAGACATTACAGGAATTGCCTCCTAGCATCCTGCGTCACGAACTTGTTTGCCTGCAGTCTCGACCCTCGTTGAGTCCCGTGGGGAGCAGATTCAAGTAGCGCCCACCTCGGGAGAAGACACAATGCGGGGTCAATCAAGGCCTGTGGGAGTAGGAGGAGGGAGAACGAGGCGTCCCGCTCGCGGGGGATCGATCAAGAACAAAGGAGCAAGTGATCATGAGATCGAGGTTTGAGGTTCGAGGTTCAAGCTTGTGTTTTTGCTCCGCCCTTTTCGGCCATCTGGGTGTGATCTCGCCACCACGGCTGCATCCTCCTCGAAGTTTTGACCAAACGCATCCCAGGAGAGGCCCCGACCCCGGGGCCCAGACCCGCTCGCTTCGCGAAACAAGCATGCGGACGGTTTGTGGGCATTCCTGGCCCATAGGGTTTTTTGCTTGGTCCCGTCAAGAAGTGCATTGTGAGAAAAAAACAATTTCGGGGAAGCTTCTCGGGGAGGGGGGAGGGAAGGGCGCGTTGGGGAAGGAGGGGGACTGGGCTTCAAGGTCTGAGGAAAAAAAGATGTATCGTGGGTTCGTGACCCTTGCGCTGTCAAACACCGATCCTGGATGAACAAGGCCAGGATGGATCTCGGGAAGGCGATGGGGGCCCAGCGTGGAGCAGAGCCAGGTCCCAAAGGAAGGATCTATCGAGGATCCATACGTTCGAGATGACTTGTGGGTCCTTCTCAAGCCTCTGGAGGCTCCCCGGGGAGTCCCCCGAGGCGCCCGGGGGCCTCCAGAGATCGCTGGAGAGGGGGGAGAGCGAGGGTGGGGGGAGGGAGGGCGGAGGTAGGCGGAGGGGAGGGGAGGGGCTGAAGGCGGGAGCGCCGAGCGGAGTCAAGCATCTCCCCAATCTCAGGGCGTGCTCGTAGTCTTCATGTGGACGCCGTGTAGCGTCCGAGCTCGCGTCAGTATACGAATCAGCTTCGCATCAACTTCCACGCCCGCAATCGATTCGACCAGCCTGCTCAAACGGATTTCAATTGAACCCAAGTCAATGTTTCAGTCAAGACGGATTGCGCAAGCTGACATGCCAGCACCAGTCCCTGAGACTAGGCCGACGTTACTCTCTGACTTTGGCATTCGGTTTCAGATGTATTTTTAAATGGAGGAGGGGGATCAGGAGGATGGGGGAACATGAGGAGGGGGAGCAGGAGGATGAGAAGGAACATGCATCCCTCATGGCCGTTACCTCCTCCTCCTCCTCCTCCTCCTCCTCCTCCTCCTCCTCCTCCCTCTCCTCCTCCTCCTCCTCCTCCTTCTCCTCCTCCTCCTCCTCCTCCTAGCCCCTCTGGCCCGAGGGGATCTAAGTGGGGGGCAACAAGAGGCCCCCAGAGCGCCACCGTCGCGCTCTCGACACCCCCCCAGAGTGATGCGCTCGGGCAGCCCCAGCTGATGCAGAACTTAAGAGTATGTTCATACAATGTGCTTTCGCTGAGGCAGGAGGGGAGATGGAACGACATCGCAAGACAGTTGAGATCGTGCCAGGTGATTGGATTGCAAGGTACACAGTGTACGCCAGATTCTCGAGGGCTCGTATGTCAACAAGATCGGCTGGCACACTTTCATCGATTTCGGTGGCCTCGTGCGTGTGGAGTTGCGGGCCGCCCGACAGGCCTCGCGCTGCTGCTGAGCACCAAGTCCTTCCCCAGCCACACCATCCGCCACGTGATGTCCCCGAAAGGCATGGAGGGCAGGCTGGGCGCGGTGAGGTGCAGAGGAAAAATCATTGATATTACCTTCGTTGTAGGCTATGCCCCGACTGAGCCCCACGGATCGGCTAAAGAGAGATGTATACAAGAGAAGAAGTGTAGACAGTTTTGGAAGAGCCTGAACAGTTTGGTAGACACGTTCCCAGCGCGTACCATCCCTATATTCATGATAGATGCGAATGCGAAGCTAGGGGGCAAGCAGGAATCTAGATATGTTGGAACGTGCGAGCCAGACGATGAGAATTTCAACGGTAGCAGAATGAGGGATTTTCTAGAGCAGCAAGAATTAGCAGCGCTGAACACTTTCTTTGAGACAGGGCCGACTTTTTACCACGGCTCAGGGCTGCACACGTCAAGGATTGACTATGTGTGCGCGCCCGCGGTAGTTAGATCATATACGGAGTCGTGCGAGGTGTGGGGGAGGGCGGGCGAGAAATTGCAGATAATTCACACACGCACGCGCAGGGACCACTACCCTCTTGTGCTCAGGTTTATAGTAGGGCCCTGTTTCGAGATGTGCAAGCAAGCGCCGTCGTGCTGGAACCACGATGCGATTTCGCGCGCCGTGAGGTTCGGTCAGGGGTCGGAAGAGTTGCTGAACCAGGTCGAGCGAGAGCTCGAAGTAGTAGCACCGAGAGTGCAAGAGCTCAGTGTGCAGAGTGCTGACGCAATGTATAACAAAATGCATGAAGTAGTGGAATCAGTGGCTCGCGTGTATTTTAAAAGGGAATCCAAGCAGGACTCGAGGCCCTCTGACACTACGCAAGCCCTGCAAGACAGAATCAGGGATCGTAAGTTGCTTAGGGACTTGAAGAGTGTCCCCATCGATCCCCTTCCTCCTCTCCCTCTCCCCAGTGTGCTGTGCACCGCGTTTTGTAAGTTTAGCGGACGTGGGGTACATGAGTTTCTGTCGCCACATTTCCTCGGGCGTATGTGCTACGCATCACGTGCATGTCTAGAGATGTATGAACCCAGTGCGTGTCTGGCAGCAGTCATAGCTAGGTGTAGGGAACGTGACAAAAAGGTTCGACTCCAGTTGCGCCGGGATAGATCTAGGCGCATGGGGCTATATGTGAGAGAATTAGAAATTGCGAAGAGTGAAGGAGACATGGCGCTCTGTTGGAAACTGTCCAGACTTTTAGCGAAGAACAACTTAGGACCTAAGCAACGCAACTTCTGTGCCCCCAAGACTCGATTAGAAATGAGCACGTGGCGCACTTTTTTGGAGCAGCAAGGTAGCAAGGGTGGATTCGCGGCGAGGCCCCCTGCGCAGGAGGAGGAGCAAGCGCGAAGGGCAGCCAGGCCCGCGTGCACCTCGCTCACGCCCGACACACTTGCCAGAGCGAATGATGACTTTGAAAGCCTGAGAAGGCAGCTGTTGTCGGCCCGTCTGAGACGGACGCCGCCAGCCTGGAGTTTTCCCGCAGGAGTGTGGAGGCTGATGATGAATCCCAACGAATATAAGTACTCGCGTGGCGAGGCCTTGGAGAAATATGAACATGTAGAGGACTGGTATTTCCCATGTATCACCAAGTGCATTGTGTGGATTTGCACGGCCATCAGGATGCATTCCGAGACGCCGCTGCAGTGGCATCGTAGCCACGCTTTCTCGCTGGATAAGCTCAATGGAAAGAGTGAATGCAAGGGCCAGAGGCTTGTGCATTCGCTCGACGCACTCGGCAAAGCCTACTATGCTCAGCTCTGGCGTGCATACCCAGCATTGACTGCGCAGGCCGATCGGCCATACGCGTTCGGTTATCTTCGGGGGAGGCGGCGGGAGGAGGCGATTCTTGTGCAGAACGCTTGCGCTGCTAGGCTGCACGGCTCTAAGATAGGCAGAGTAACAACATTGTACGACGCTACGAATGCTTTTCACAGTATCCATCATGAGAGGCTGAAAGAGTATGTGCGCGCGCACTGTGACGAGTTCGGGGCTAAGTTGCTGGAGCAGAGGCTGGACTACGCACAGGTGATGATTGAGTGCGTGGATGGGGACCTCCAGGTGAGCATTGGGCAAGGCACACTCCCTGGAGACACGGTCGCATGCATATGGTTCCTGGGGTCCTACAACACCGCGATCGATCGGTTTCGGGATTCTGACGCCAGCGGGATCTATGTGCAGATCAAGTGGCTTCGGCACTGCCTAGCAGCAGATGACGAGGCCAGGCAACGCCTAGGGGCCCTGTCGAGAGAGTTTTTCGACATTTCTGTCTCCAGCTTCTCAGACGACATCGCTCGTACGTCGGCCGTGGAAGACGCAGCTCACTGCAGGCTGCGCACGAATGCTCAGTTCATGCACCTCGATGCGGAGCTATGGGAGGAGGGGGTAGCGCTGAACGGGGACAAGCAGGTGTCATTGGTGCAGCTGGAGGGGAGAGGCATACAGTACGGGATGAGGAGGCTGTACAGGGACAAGGACGTAATGAAGGGGGAGGTGCAGAGAGTGGCGAGGTATTTGGGTGGCCAGCTACATTTCCAAGGAAGATCGAAACCAGAAGTCGAGTATCGTGTCAGGAGGGCAAAACAAACGTTCGCAGTCCTAGGGAGTTTCTGGAGCGAAGTGACGAATGAAAGGTGGAGGGGCGTCATTTTCAAGAGCATGATCGACGCCTCGCTCTTATCGGAGGTGATTGCGTACCCTCTTCCTGAGGCGGAGCTTCAGAAGATTGAGGGCGTGCAGGCGAAACTAGCTAGAAAAGCTCTACAGGGCAAGGGGTGTCTCAAGGTTGAAGCGACGGAGATGAGGGCCAAACACCACGCTGCCTTGCCCAACTCTAAGGTTCGGGAACTTCTGCGAATCCGCACGCCCTTCAGCCTGCTGCGAGCGCAGAGGATCAGCTGGTGGCAAGAAATCATTCGAAACCCTGAGAGACATGTCTTATTTATCGCTACTTTGTTCGGCTACGCTGCTTGGGACCAGCACAACCTGTGTGACGAGATGGGCTTCTCAGCGAGGGCCCCTGGAGGGAGTTCGGTGCAGCCGTGGTGGAACCAGCTGCTACTCGATCTTTCTGCCTGTGTGGAGTTCCTACAGATGCCAGACATTCTGCCCGCGCTCGTGGAACGCCCAGTTGCGCTTTTTTTGTGATGCTGAAGTGCGGGAGGCAGTACTAAAGGTGTCGGTTGAGAAGCTGAAGAGGGTGACGGGGGGACCTAGAGTCTACGCGGATATCTCGGAAAGGCTGATGGAGGAGATTTTGTTTTGATGTTTGTTTGTTTTTCTTTTTTTTTATTTGTTGGTGGTTTTTCTTTGTTTTTTTTTATGCTCCTATTTTTTGATGTTTTTGATGGTGCTGATATTTGTTTTTTTGACATTAATTAGTTTTTGTGGTGATTTGTTTGATTTTTTTGAGTTGAATGTGTTTTTGAATGTATGATGCTGATACTGATGTTGTTTTTGTTGGTTTTTTTTTGTTTTTTTTGTTGTTTTATTTTGATGTTTTGAATGATTTTGTTTTTTTTGATTTGTTTTTTTTGATTTGATATTTTTGATTTTCTTATGGTTTTTTTTTATTTGATTTTTATGATCATCTTGGATTCGTTTTTGTTTTTATTTGTTTTTTATTTATTGTGTTTTGATGGAGGAGGTGACGGTAGGAAGGAACAGAAGAGGAAGTGGAGGAGAACTACCTGTCGAGGGAGAGGTGGGAGGAGCTGAGCAGGAGGTACCACGGGAGGGAGACGAAGAGCCAGATCCTGCGGCACTTCAGCCAGAATTGCCCGAGCCGCCCACTCCCGCACCACACGCGTGCGACATCGAGGGCTGCGGCCTGGGCTTCGACACGCGTCGCCAGCTACTGCTGCATCAGTCTAACTCAAAAGCAGAAGGACACGGAAAAAAACAGCTGGCAAAAATACTTACTATATCTAACAAATGCATCTTGAGCAACAACTTTTATACGACAAAACGATATGCGTCGGAACACTTGGATCAAGCCATTAAGAAAGGAAAATGTCCGAGGTCGAGGGGGTCAGTCACGGTACACCAACATGTTGCCGACCCCCCTTACTGGTGTGAACTGTGTAGTGAGGAGTTCGCCACGTACGAAGTGGCGAGGGCGCATATGCTAACACATCTACCCTGTTGACCGTGCCTCAGAGGTGCGGTGTGCGTGTGAATTCGTCGATGTCTGGCTCGAGTGCTTCGGTCGCGGTCTTGTGTTCACCAGGCTGTGAGTGCCCATTGTCCAAGGTGCAGTGCTGTTCGGCCGATGTGGAAGGAACAGTTCGCGCATGCAGGACCTGGTGACGCTGCAGCTGAGCCACAAGGTCGCTCTGTGAAGTACCGCCAGATTGAATGCACGGAGGACAAGCAAAAGATCGACTTAGCGCTGAAGCTGGGGGTGATCGCTAATCAGAAGGCCAGGCTGCTGGCCGCAGCGTGCACGGTAGAGATCGAGATGCTAGTGGAGGGCCCCATCATGAGGGCCATGGCCAAGGCCCACGCAGAGGAGTACCTGCCGAGGGTCAAAGGGAAGGCTGGACATGGGTTGGGGGCGCCAGACTCATTCTTGCTGACGGCGGCGATCATCACCATGCTGGAGTCGTGCGAGGAAAGGTTCAAGGCTCCGCTGAAGGAGTACTTGGACAAGTTCAAGCCAGGGTCGAAGGAGGCACAGCACATTGTGGGCCTCTTCCGCACTGAGAAGATGTACGACAGCAAGAAGAAGCGCCTCATCATCGGAATGAAAGATGAGAAGTTCGAGAAGATCCTCGTGGGCGCCATCGAGTCCGTGGAGAAGCGCGAGGCATTCTCGGGGCCGAGGCCGCCTGGACACTTAGAGCTGGAAGGCCAGAAGGTCCTCGAGGTTGGCCGCTAGCTGAGGATCGACAGCGACCGCGAGTGGTCCAAGGACCTTGAGTGGATCATAGGTGCGACGCCCGTCATTGATGATTGCCATGTGTGGTTCAGGGACCGCGAGTGGATCATAGGTGTGACGCCCGTCGACGATGATTGCCACGGGTGGTTCAGGGACACTGAGTGGATCATAGGTGCGCCGCCCTCCTCGCATGATTGCCGCGTGTGGATCGGTTTCGTTGGGGAGGGTACCTCCATCGTGCGCCTCGAGACCTGAGCCTGCTGATGAAGGCGCCGTGTGCTGCTGCCGCCGTCCCTCTTCTCTCCGCCCCACCTAACTTTTTGGGCAGCGAACTTTTTCTTTGGGCCTCGAATTAGGGTTCTGTGTTTGGGTGCGTTCTGAATTAGAAATCCTGTCTAGGCTAAGTGTCTGTGCGAGTTTTCGGTCCCCTCCTGCTTCCTCGTCGTGTCTGGTCGTCTCTCTCGCTTTCTCGCCCTTCCCGCTCCTTCGGCCCTCGGGCTCTCCTCCCCCCCTCGGGGGCGCTCCCTCGGTGCCTGCGCTCCCCTCCCTTGGGGGGGTGCGGAGGCGCCTTGGTAGCGCGCCCGCTCGCCCGCCCTTCTTCCCCGTCGTTGCTGTTTGCTGCTGGACCGTGGGTTTAAGTCTGAGTTCGTGGTTTAAGTTTTTGGTCTCGCCTCCCTGGTGCAGGAAGGAGCCGCTTCGGCACGGGCTGTGCACTGGCTACCCCCGTGCATGCACGGGGCTGCCGCTAGTGCCCCTCGTGGGTGAGGTGCCGAGCTGCAGATATGAGGGGGGCATCTGCTCCCACACTCCCTAGTTCGATCCGCCTCGGACTCATGAGGAGCGCCACCACCACCACCTCCTCCTCCTCCTCCTCCTCTTCCTCTTCGTTCGCCTCCTGCAGCCGCTGCGGCTGCTGCTGCTGCTGCTGCTCCTCCTCCTCCTTTTCATCATCATCCTCATCATCATCGTTTTTGATCGGATCGAGTAGTTTCAGCTCCAGCCGTTGAGGTTCAGGCAGTTTGGGCTCGCGCCCCCACTCCACAATTCGATCAGCGTTGGTTCACCATCCCTGAGGATGCCGCATGCTTGATACCCAGCTTGGAGCTCGATCTCGGCGGCGAGCGAGGGGGGGGAGTGAGAAGGAGAAGGCCTGCTCAGAAGGTTCGGAAGTCCCCGGGCCTTCTGAGAAGTTTTCTAAGACTCTCGCGAAGACAAAACAAGCTTCTCAGAAGGCGCGAGGGCTTCTGAGAAGTCCCGCCAGCTTCTGAGATGGTCGTCTCCTTCTCATTTCCCCCCTCGCTCGCCGCCGACGATCAGGTGTCTCGTCCCCCAGCGCGGCCCCGAAGAAGCATGGAAGGACAGCACGCCAGAGCGCAGCGCTGCAGGTGCTCGAAGAAGCGCCTCCGCCCTGTGCAAAAGGACGAAAAGACCACGTTGCGACCATCAGCGCATTTGGAAAAAACAGGCAGTGGCAGCGGGCGCTGTCGCTGCTCAGCGAGATCGTTGAGACGACATCTTGGGCCAACGTCGTCAGCTACAGCGCGGGGATCGGCGCGTGCGAGAAGGGTAAGCAATGGCCGCGTGCCGTGTCGCTGCTGAGCGAGATGCGGGAGGCCGCAGTAGAGCCCAACGTCATCAGCTACAGCGCCGCGATCAGCGCCTGCGGGAAAGGTGAGCAGTGGCAATGGGCCGTGTCGCTGCTGCGAGAGACGTGGGCGGCTCAGTTGGAGCCCTACGTCATCCATGCGAAGACCGACAGGTTCCGACACCGTTGCTCCCCGGACCTCTCCTGGGTTGCGTCGTAGCCAGACGTTCGCGGCGAATCCAGCGTTGGCGACGATGGCCGCCGAGGAGGCCCACTTGCGGAAAACGAGGCAAGGGCAGCGGTATTGGCGCCGTTTGCCTCCTCCGGATCGGTGCTGCAATGCCAAGCGAAGCACGCGCCAGGCCAGCGTCAGATCCCAACGGGGCAAGATCGGCCCTCGACGATCAACGACTCGGGCCACTCGATGGGCGTCGGGGGGTAGGGTTCGGAATGCGTCGAACAAGTGACGATACCCGAACCCATCGATGGGGGAGAATCGATGGTTGGAGGGGGTATTGTTCGGAGGTCGCCACCTCTCCCCCGGAACGTCCCCTGGACCCCTCCGAAGTAGCCCCCCTGTGGCCCCAAGGCCTGCCCAGGTGGCTCGAAGAGGCCTGGGACGGCCCAAGAAACTCCAAACAGGGCCCCAAGAGACCCCCACGATGCCCCGAGAGATGTCCCGAGGGGCCTCCCCTCACGAGGCCGCAAGAGACCCCAAGAGGTTCCTCCCCAGTCCCACCTCCTTCCTCCTCGGCTCCGGCTCCTCCCTCCTCGCCCCTCTGCCCGGCCGCCGCTGCCCGCTGACCGCTCCTCGCTCGCTGCTCTTCGCTGATTGCTCCCCGCTTCGCCCCACCCCTAGGGGGCCACATGCGAACCCTACCCCTACCCCCCACGATTTCCCAGGGGTGGGGGTGGGGTTCACTTCGCCTGGGAGCTCCCGAACGACGTGAACCCCACCTCCTCCTCCTCAACAATCGTGGGGGGCAGGGGTAGGGGTCGCCTGTGGCCCCCTGCACCACCTTCCTCGAACTCCCCGCCCCTCGCGCCCCGCCTCCTCTCGATCGTCGATCCTCTCCCGCCAGCAGGCTGCACCATGAAGGGGCCCCAGGACACACAAATAAATACACACAAATAAAATATTCCCTATATTTTTCTATATTTTCTGGGTTTTTGTCTTCCCCCCCACTTCCCATATTTTCCCATATTTTCGGGGGATCGACGATTCATTGTGTCTGTGTGTTCTTTCCCCCTCCTGACGTCAGCAGACCGAGGTGTCGAGCAGCAGAGGCCCCTGTGCAGCGCCAGCCAGCAGCAGCCGCAGCGCGCGGCAGCAGCAGCACAGGCGCGCGCAGCGGAGGCGGCGGCGCGCCCGCCGCGCAGAGCTGGCCATCGCCAGGAGGAGAGAAAACACACACAGACACAATTGATCGTCGAGACCCAGGAAAATGTGGGAAACTATTGGGAGTGGGGGGGAAGACAGAACCCCAGAACAGATGGGAAGATATGGGGAATCTTTTTATTTGTGTGTATTTGTTTGTGTGTCCCAGGGCCCCTTCACATCGGCAGCACCCTGCGGCTCCAAGGATCGGCAGCACGCAGCGTCGGCGGCCAGCATGGCCAAGGCAAAGCCACAGCGCCGGCAAGCGTCGGCAGGTGTCAGCACGCAGCATCCTGCGAGGAAAGCGAATGTCGAGCCCCGCGTCGTCATGCCATTCGTTCGGCAGCGTGTCCACCATTACATTCCAGTTCGTGCAGACTTCGTGGACGTAGTCCGCGGGTTAGTCCCAGTCAGCTACAACTCTGGGATCAGCGCGTGCGGGAAAGGCAGGGAGTGGCATCTGGCCTTGTCACTGCTAAGCGAGATGCGCAATGTGAAGCTGCAGCCGGGCGTCATCAGCTACAGTGCCGCGACCAGCGCGTGCGAGAAAGGCGGGCAATGGCAGTGGGCTTTAGTGGTGCTCAGAGAGATGCACAATGCGAGTTTGGAGCTCAGTGTGATCCCATCTACATGTAAGGCGTTCCAGAGAGGGCCCCGCCTGCGAGGATCTGGCATCACTTCCTTGGCGCAAAGGCCGGCGGAAGGTCGGCGGACGCTGTCGGAAGTAAACCGAAGGCGGCTGCGAAGTCGGAAGCCAGCGGAAGGCCGGCGGAAGCCAGCGGAAGTAAAACATGCGCCCCCCATAGATGACCATATTTTGGGACTGAGTGTTAATGAAATCGATTACTTGTCACGAGTCAAGCAGCAGGCAGCGGGCAGCAGCACACAACAAGCAGAACAGGCCAGGAGCAGCAGCAGCGGCCTGCACCCACAAACCGCAGCAGAAACACGCAGCAGCGGCAAGCACTACCACCAGCACGCAAGAGCGGCAGCAAGCAGAGCAGCACCACGCAGTAGTACACACGGAAAGCGAGGGACGAGCCTCATGCCATCATGTCTGCCTTTCGGCAACGCGCTCAGGATGAAATGCCTGTTCAGATTTCGCGAGCGTCGTCCACGTGTCAGCCCTAGTGTGAATGGCCTGACAATGGCCCCTGGATAGCCCCCCTCTGCAGCGCAGGAGGACTCCCAGACGGCCCGAGGAGGCCCTCACGAAACAACAAGCACGAAGGAAGCCCTGTGGCACGGACGGGGGCAAGGGAGTGGGAGGAGTCGGAGGGAAAGGGGGGGGAAACGCAGCGCAGCTCAGCCCGCAGATGCTGGCATCGCGGCCACGCGAACCGCCTGCGCCGCACGGCGCGCCAGTCCGCCTCGGTCCTGCTGGCCGGCTCTGCGGGGACTCGCCGCAGCGCGGCGGCGCGGGGCGGCAGCGCAGCGGACCAGCCGGGGCAGGGCCGCGCCGCAGGTGCCTGCCAGCGCAGGGCCGCCGCGCCGCACCCCGCCCAGGACCGGAGACGGCCGCGGCGGCGCCCCGCTGCGGCAGGCCTTGCCCAGCAGCGCCCACGGCCGCCGGGGGCGCTGCGGGGGAGGCGGCTGCCCGGCTGCTGCGCCGGCCGCTGCCGCCTGCGCCGGCCGCTCCCTCTGCCAGCCAGGTCGGGCGGCGAGCGCCTGCCGCAGCGGCCCGCGCGCCCAGAGCTGGCGCACCTGGGGGCCCGCCGGCCCCGCGCTCCCGCGGTTCGCCCGCAGCGCGATGGAGCTGCCGCGGGCAGCCGCTGCTGCATGCATGGGGCGTCGCAGCTGCACCTGCCGCTGCTCGCCAAGACCCCGCGCGGGGAGCTGAGCGCGCGCCGCGGCCCCCGCCAGCTCGTCGGCGTACGCGTTGCCAGCGTGCTCCTCGGGCGCGACGCCCCTGGCCGCCGCGGCGTCCGCATCGAGGTGCCGCGCTGTGATTCAGCCGCTCTGGCAATGCGGCATCAAGAGCTCCCACAAGCCCGAGTGCGTCCTCTCGCGGAACATCGCGCCAGCGTGCAGCGCGGCGATCCCGTGGCGCACGTACTTCGAATCGGAGATCAGCTCAAAGGGGGCCTCTGGCCTCGCTGACCGCGTGCAAGCCCTGAGATCCGACGCTGCAGCAACAAAAATGCAACATCGCAACAAACATTACGACCGGAGCCGCGGATCCCACCCTTCTGCGTAATTTTTCGAGCCGGATCGATCTGCGAGGGTTCTGGGGCCCGAAATCGAGCGAAAACGCCCGCTGACAAAAAATCGAAACGCCAGGATCGATCTGTGAGGGTCCTGGGGCCCGAAATGTTGAGCGAAAGCGCCCGTCGTGAAAAAATCGGAACGCCAGGATCTGAGTCGGAAGCTGGAACATATACATTACCGGCGGCGTGCTGTTTTTCAATCCCTGGACCTGAGGGTCAGGGACGACGTCGGGGCGGTGTGGTGTACAGTTGTTCCCCCGTCTTCCTAGGGAAATGACGAACATGCATACACCAGCATCTCGTATACACCAGGAGCCGCTTTCCTGTGCGAGTTTCGGTGCAGGGCCGGAAAAAGCGTCGGTGTAATAGTGTTTGGTTCCTTATGGCAAGGGCATA